ATTTATTATTATTATTATTGTTGTTATCATTATTACACCTTTTCCGATCAAATATCAAAATAGAGAGCTCAAATGCAACAAAGAAAGTCCAAATAATATCATAAAAGTCAAATTAGTTCAACATAGAGAGTTCAAATTCAACATAATGGAGAACGTAAGCAAATGGCAGCTCAAATGTAATCGCGGGAGAGTTCAAATGTAACTTCATGTATCAAATTCCTCATTGTCAGTTCAAATGCAGCATAGGAAAATTCAAATTGAACAATACGAAAATCTGCGAAGCTATGACGTAACCATCGTCTCCGAGTCAGGGGAAGCTACTCTGTCTCTTAGCAACGTTCGTTGTTTACTGTTCACGTCTCTCGCATTCAATAGGCCTACTCACCGTCTGCTCTCTAGATATACACTTTTCCCCGATCATATATCAAATAGCCAGTTCAAATGCAACAATGAAAGTTCAAAACTGTCTCTAAGCCACATTTGTTGTTTACTGTTCGCGTCTCTCTCCGTCAGCAGTCTAAATATAGATCTAGATCTAGATCTAAATATCTAAATCTAGATCTAACCGTCGCCGTCATCTCGTTTTGCTAGATCCAAAACTTTGACCGTTGTAACAGATCCTACCAGGAAGACACAGCAACATATTAAGCATGCCTGGCCAAAAATTAAATAATACAAAGTCAGTCTCGAAGATAAACATGGAATGTACCGGTATACGAGAATCCTTTCTGAGAGGAGACTATTAGATCTAATCTAGTTCTAGATCTAGGGTAGATCTACACAATGTTCGTTAAACAGTCGCAAATCAACCAAAATACGGAAGCCCTTACCCTAACCCTACCCCTAACCCTAACCCTACCCTTACCCCTACCCCTACTCCTACCCCTACCCCTGCCCCAAGCCCTCAATTCTGCTCTGTCTCAGAGTGGTCACTCGTTACGGAAGTCCTCCCACCACGGAAATAAAAGATGAGCTGGTTTCGAAGGCGAAAGCCACCCAGATTGCACATCCAACAAAATAAAAGCAGGTCTTCGAATGGCTCTGCCATACACATCTCGCATTTGTCGCTGCGGCAACTTTGAACAGATTATATGAGAGAGAGAGAGAGAG